GAAGCCAGGCCCTGCTGCCTCTCCCCTAGGTGGCCTGGCTAGAGACTGACCTCTCTGGGCTCAATTTCCCCAGGCTAACTCTGTCACTGGTCCACACCAGATAGCCTTAGACTAGGCCCCTCCCCGCCTGGGCCTCAGTTCCCTCACTTGTAAAACCTTCAGAGTTTGTGAGGGTCGGGGAGGCCTTTCCGGGACCCCCCAGGATGGATAACGGTCACTCACTGTCCACCGACAACAGCTCTGGGCCTGGCCCTGAGTGAAGTCACACAACCTAGTGTGACAGAAGCACTGAGGAGGGACGCTCACAGGTGGTAACTCACCTGTCTGGGTGACCAGGCAAGACTTCCTGGAGGAGGTGACCCTCGAGACCCACCCTTTCACCCAACAAATGCCTTCCATAGCCTTGCCAGGCCCGGTGCTGGGTTCCAGGGATGGCAGCCAGCAGGTCACAGACCCTGCCCTGGAGGAGCCCACATTTCGGCAGGAGACACAGGAAAGCGCAAGTGTGGTGGTGGCATGGGCTAAAATGGGTGTCTGTGGGTCCGGGCAGTGGAGTGAGACGGCACCCGTCACTCACAGGGGCTGCCCTGCACACCCTCTGACGTTTCTTCCAACTCCACACACCCGCGAGTCACTTCAGATCCCGACAAGGGCCGGTCACGAAGAAAACATGACTCACCCTCGGCCTTGCTCAGAGCCTTTCCCGGCCACCCGAGGCGCCTCGTCTGGCTCCAGCAAGCCCCTACTGCACCGAGATGACCACACGGGGCCCCACACCGCCCTCTGGACACAGCCGCGACGTGGCCGCACGTGTGGAGGCCACACCATCATCACATGTCCGCTGGCCACGTGGCAAGACGGCCTGGAAAGCGTGGTAGGAAACTGTCCCCAGAATGCGGGGCAAGTTGCCTCCAATGCGGGGTTTGCTGATGGGGTTTCACAACCAGTGGAGCTTCAGGGTGACATGGGTAAGGGTGTAAGAGGCCCCGTCGGCGCCCGCGGGGCTTCCCACGGTCTGGGCTCATCTCCCGAGAGGCCCAGACTGCGGACGCACGCTCTCGGGGCCCGCTCTGCTGAGCGCGGCCTCTGTGTCTATCACAGCAAGCAGCGGTGTCGAGGAGATCGGTAGGGTCGGGTGCACGTTTCCCCCAGACTCCAACCCCGACCTCTGCAGAACCCCACAGCAGCTCGGGACCTGCAGATGCAGGAGCCCAGGGAGGGAAAACAGGCTCCATCCACTGCAGTAATGACTGTCTGGAGCGTGCGGGGATTGATTGCTGCTGTCTGCTGCGGGAGAAGCTAGCAGCATCTGTGCGTCCCTGAAGAGTAGGTTTAGTTGAGCAAAGGAAAGCCTCTGTCCTGTGTATTTTTTATTGTACATTCCTTTTTTTTTTTTTTTAAGAGATGAGGTCTGGCTCACTCTGTCACCCAGGCTGGAGTGCAGTGGCACAATCATAGCTCACTGTAGCCTGAAACTCCTGGTCCCACACAATCCTCCCACCTTGGCCTCTCCTATTGTACCTTCTTGATAAAGGGTCATCTCTGAAGGGCACACCTGTTTGTACACCTCTATGGGGACAGGGATGTATACATATGGTTTATATGAATAGTCGAGGAACCAGAATACCCCATTTCCCAACCATTTTAGATCCTGGGAATTGTTGGAAAAAGAAAAGCTTCACCTTCTTTCACATCTTGAGCAAAATTATGATCATCACCATTATCACGATGATCACCATCAACACTGCCATCACCAACATCTTCATCATTGTCATCATCACCATCATCGTCATCAATGTTACCATCATCATCATCATCATCATCATCACAGTAACAGCAGCTAATACTTACCTAGTGTGTCCTCTGTGCCAGGCTATGTTCAAATGCTTCAGGTACATTAGCTCATTTAGTTCTCAAACTGTCTCTGTGCAGTGGGTACTACTATCACGTCCATTTTACAGATAAACGATTGGAGGTTAAGTAATGCTACGCAGGCAGCATTTGAACCCAAGCAGTCTGGCCCCAAAGTCAATGCCTTAACCTTTATGCTCAACTGAACACAGACTATTTATTCTCTCGTCTTGGAACAGAAAGCCACAGACAGGACAAACCACTTGCAGAAACACAGTGTGGACAAACGGGCCTACCACACCCAGGGTCCGGTCCCCACTCAGGAAGGACCCCTGCCCTCTCAGGCCTCCGTCTCCCCACCTGTAAACCGAGGAGTGGACATCTGGACGGGCTCCGAGCTCCCTCAGGCCACGCTGCATGTGACCTGACAAACCCTTCAGATTTCAAAGCTCCCAGAAGTCCCTGCACCGTCCTCCCGGGGAAGCCAGCGGGGACCTGCCGACCCGTGGGTGAACACTCCGGCAGGCTGCCTTGATTCCGATGGATGACTGTGGGTGGGTCCCCGGGGATGAGAAAACCTGAGTGCAAGCGGGCTAGGGTCCCCCCGGGTCCCCAGAACCCGAGCCAGCACTCACTCACTGAGGGCTTAGGAAGCGAGCAACCAAATGGCGTTTTCCTGTTATTTTCATACTGTTGGTATGAAGCTCAACAGGTACCTGCGCTGTCCTAAATCTGCTAACTAGGAGCTCACGCAGCCCTGCCAGACCACAAGCTCTTGAAAGGCAGGGACCGGGGTGCACCCTAACTGTCACCTCTGACATACACAGCGCTGAGTGATTTTCAAAGGCCTTCACCATTCAAAATCTCATTTGAGCCTGAAACCACAGGAGAGGTCGTGAGAGCTGATGGCGATGACGGTGACGACAAGGCAATGACACTGTCACCTGCATGTTGAGCACAGAACTGTGTGCTGAGGGCCTACCGTGTGCTGAGTGCCAGGCCCCCGTGCACTACGCCGCATCTCACACAATCTTCAGGGTGATCCGTGGGGGAGCACTTGAGGCCCATCCAGGAGACACTGGGGTTCAGCGAGGGCAAATCGCCACCCGAATTTGCACGTCAGTGGTGGGCTGCAACTCAGGCCCCCCAGTGAATGAGCTCACGGCTCGGTGGGGGAGCGGGCGTGTCATTATAACCCAGAGTCAGCGGCGCGACACTGGAGCAGAGTAGGTACTTAACATGGCCAGAATGCGTGTGGGCGGGTGTGTGTGGAATGGAGGTATCAGGGAAGGCTTCCGAGAGGAGGCAAATCTAAGGGGTGATTACTAGCCTTTAGCCAGGATGCAAAAAGAGGGCAGAAGCTCTAGGCACAGGGAAAACCTGCGCTGGGACTCCCCAGCGTGGAACAGCCCAGCGTGCGTGCGTGCACCAGGACACGCGGTTTTCCACGTTTCAGGATGGGAGGACCAGAGGCTGGAGCCCGGCCGGACAGAGAGGGAGACCCCTGGCAGTTCCTGAAGCACACTCACGAGCCTCGTCCTCCGTCGCCCTGGCAGGCCAGAACGATTTCTCTCTCGAGTGGATGAGGATGTGAGGCCCACAGAGCCAGCGAGTGGCAGAGCTGGGCGTGGGACAGGGTTTGACTCCTAACCCAGGGCTCGAGCAGAGTGGGGAGTTAAAGCTGGACTCTGAAGGCCCTCAAGGAGACAGGAGACACAGGGTGGCCTCCTGGGCAGAACACGGCAGGAGAGGGCCTAAGGACCTGGGCTGGGGAGGAACCATGACCCTCCTTCGCCAGGGCACTGGGTCTGTGGGGCCCAGCGGAGGATCAGAAAACGCCGCACACAGCCTCACGTGTGCCACTTGAACCACCACGCTAGCCTCCAGGCCCTGCCAGTAGCTGGGCCAGCCTGTCCCACCAGGCTTCTTGCTAATGGCCTGATCTAGCTGCCTCCAGCCTGGCCTCCTTCCAGAGGTCTGTGGAGAGGCGCCAGCTCCCCCACTGCGGTTTCTGGGCCCCCGACCAAGCCAGGGACATGACCAAACCAGGCGTGGTCCAGGACGATGGCATCTGCCCTGCACTCAGCCGTCAGTATGTGCTCGATAAATGAGATGGACAGACACCGTCAGCGTCCCGAGGAGGCGTGTCTCCATCTCCTGCAAAATGCCAGCCCGTAAAGCCTCGAGTAGAAGGAACGTGTCGCCTCCCTAACACAAATATCACACTGCGCAAAAGTGAACTGGCGGGGCTCAGGGAGAAGAAAATGAGATGCTAGAGAGTCACTGAGTGGGAGTTAGAAGACCTGGGTTTCAGTCCTTGTCATGTCCCTGGGAAACGTGGGGACCCTGCCAAGGATGCTTGTCCTCCCTGAGTGTCAGCTTTCCTCATTCAAGCAATGGGGGCAGACGGGGACGGTCTGGATCAGTGATCCCATCCAGGTTGCACATCAGCCACGGAGAGCTGTTTCCAGCCCCGACACCACGTTCTGCCACAGAGCCCGGGAGTCAGGGCGACCGCACAGACCCTCACAGTTGGATGCTCCAGGTTCTGTCTGGCTTGGAGAGACCTGACTCTAGACACAGCTGGAGTTCTCCTCACTCTGACTTTCAGCCTGCCAGGAAGGCAGCTTCTAATGCCAGGCAGTCAAACCAGCACTCCAAGTGCAGGGAAGGAAGGCAGGACAGACAGACAGATGCCAAAAATCCACCAGTCTCTGTCTGAGCTCTGGAGCTGGAGACCCAAGACCCAAGCCAGCCTCACGAATGCCTTGACTGGGTACTGAGCAGGTCCTCTGGGGAGGCTACAGCCACCTAGGGTGGTTTTGGACTTGACATTAGGGACCTGGAGGGAGAGGGCCACCCCAGGCCCTAACACCCCCTGACACACATATCCGGCCAGGAACAGATGTGCAAATACATCATTCAATGCCTCATTCAATTGCTTTAAGAAAACAAAAAGTTTCAAACCTGGGCGAGAATCAGATACCCCATGACTCCAGCTTCATCTTCCAGGGAGGCAGCCTGCATTCCCAGAAAGCCCGTAGCCTCCCTCCCAAGGCCGAGAGAAGCCAGTTCTGTCACACCCGTGGTGGCAGGCTGGAGGTTTGCCCCTAGCCAGTGTCAAACGGGGAGGGCTGGGCTCCACTCACCTTCACACTGCCTCCCTTCCCCCTTGTAGCCCGGCTTGCAGAGGCATTTGTAGGACTTAGGCGTGTTCTGACAGATGGCGTCGATGTGGCAGTCATCCGTGCCCTCGGAGCACTCGTCCACGTCGACTGCCCCTGGTTGGGGGGGACAACAGATGAGCGGTGGCCTGGGAGCAGGCAGTGGGTAGTGTGTGGGGAGCTCTCGCCTCTGTCCTGCCACTGACCACTGGGGTAATTAACAGCAACAGCTGTCACGTGACAGTCTGGTGTGACAAGGGGCAACTGGTAGCATCTCTGGGGCAGCTACTCTGCGCCAGGCACAATGCTACAACACACCTGGCCTCGTTTATTTCACAACAACCCCGCTGAGTAGGGCTATTCTTCTGCAAACAGATGAGGAAACTGAGGCTTAGGGACACAGGAGGAAAAGCCTCTCTCTGTGTGTGCTGCTCGCCCCACAAGCGTCACTCCGACCCTCCTCACTCTCCTTACTCTCGAATTTAGAGCCAGAAGGGTCCTTGGGGGATTTTACTCCAGCCCCTGTGGCTTACAGATTGGGAAACTGAGGCTAGGGTGGAGCAGTGAGCAGAGGCCATGCCAGCAGGCTCCTGCAGGTGAACATGGGCTCCCAGCCAGCCCTAGGCTGGGAGGATGTGGGATTCTTCATTCCACACCCCACACTGGAGTGTCCGGTGGCAGGACCACACCCTCACTGGGTTACCCCAGCTGACGGATGGTTCTGGTCTCCCCAGTCGTCCCTCCTTCACTCCTGGGAAATCTAGGTGCGACCTGGCTCTCATATCCTGACTTGTAAACTCAAGTTCCATCTAGGGCAGGCGTCCTCAAACTACGGCCCGCAGGCCACATTGCGGGTGTTTTCGCCCATTAGTTTTTTTACTTCAAAATAAGATATGTGTGCAGTGTGCATAGGAATTTGTTCACAGTTTTTTTTTTTTAAACTATAGTCCGGCCCTCCAACGGTCTGAGGGACAGTGAACTGTCCCCCTGTTTAAAAAGTTTGAGGACCCTTGGTCTAGGGTAAAGGCCCCTGACACCCCCCATCTCCTGTCCCAACACACACGTACAATTCCAGTCTGGAAGAGCTACGGGGGCAAAGTAAGGCAAAATAGCTCCTGTGTGTCTGTGTATGTATATACCCCAACATTGCCTCCCTCCCTCCTTCTCTCTCTCTCAACACACAGGGTTCAGATAGAAAGGGGACTCTCACGGCCTAGGATAGCATAGCCAGAAGAACCTTAGCTGGAACACAGTTGAATTCAGGCGACAGAGGAGGAACCTGAGGTGCAGTGAGGTGTGTTAAGGTCGGTAGCTCATTGGGGCAGAGACTAGAAGACAGAATAAGCTTTTCTACATGCCAGTTACCTCCAGCTAGCTACGAATAAAACACAGGGGAACGACAGAAGGACAGGAGGGCAGCACAAGGGACTCTCTGCAGCTACTATGAATATAATGGCAGCCCCTAGGGGTGAGCTCGGAATGTCCCCATCTCTTTATGCCTCTGGCTCTACCTCAGATTTCCTTGTCTCCAAGTGTCCACCCTGAGTTACTGCCCTGGCTGACATCTGGGTTCTAAATCTGCATGCGGGGCCTCCCTAAGAGACCCCCCCTCCTTCAAGGCTTCTCATCCTTTAACCCCCAAGGCCCCAGCCCAGCCCTGAAGGCAGAGAGGCATCAAAAAGAAACATAACAATGATGAGTGTGCACACGCACAGCAGTTGTCAGGGGCCGCATCTGCTCAGGTGGGCAGCGCATCCTCTACTGCTGCCCAAAGGAAGGGGGAAAGGTGCCCGGGAGGCAGCGGGCGGAGGGGTCAGAGCCAGGGCTCAGCAGGAACATTGGTGAGGGGAAGTGGCGACAGAGGGACCCCAGTGCAGGGGTGGCACTGCCTCAAGGGCAGGAAATCAGATGCCAGAGGGGGACAACCTATATGCTTCCCGCAGGGAGGAAGGGCCACTTCTAAGACAGGACCAGCCGGGGCAGTGGCCACAGATACGGCTCTTCCCACTTCCCAAGGGTCAGTCCGTGGCAACAAGGGAAGGGAAACTGCCGTGCTCTGGAGCCCCAATCTCCCACCTAGGAGGCAGGTGTCCTCATCCAGACTGAAACAGACAGATGTCGGTGAGGGGTGGGTGGAGCCATCTCCCAACACACCTCCTAAGCACGTCCTTAGGTGGAGGGTGGGGAGAGGGCAGGCAAGTTCCAGGACTGGCGGTGAGGAGCCACAGCCCTCAGTCCCCAGAGACCCCCCCAGACACGCTCCCTGGTCTGGGCTGGAGATTTCCTCCCATCACAGGCTGCCCGCTTTGACTTTGGTTCGCTTGTGCTGGGGACGAGCTGCTGGGGCTGCACAGCCACAGGGCTCCCCTGGCGGGGAGGACGGGAGCAGGAGACAGACACAGACGAGAGACCTGAGAGTGGACTGAGAGGTGGAGAGGGGCACGAGCAGGAACACTCACAGGCAAAGAAGTCCAAAGCTTGAGAGAGACACCCACAGGGTCGACGGGGTGTGGACAGCAGGGTGAGCGGAAAAGTTTAAATGGCCTGGCATCCTCACTCGGGGAGTGACTACCAGGAATAGACCCCCACACCACCAAACACAGACCGCAGGGAGCCCAGAGGGGCAGGCAGCACCCTCCTGGCCACGTCCCCCTCCAGGGACGGAAAGGGAGGAAGCTCCCCTAAGGAGTGGGAGGAGAGACTGTGACTGCAGCTTAGCCAGGAGCCCTCCAGGCAACCAGAGAGCAGGAGGGAAGGTGGGAGGACCCGGGAGTCCCGTGAAAGACGGCCCCCTGCCCCCCGCGGCCCCACCTGGCCTCTGCCCGACCCCTCCCTCGCCTGCCGCCTCCCTCTCCCAGATCCCAGAGCCTGGTCCCGCGCCCTCGCTTCTGTCCTCTCCGCCCGCCTTCCCTGTCCCCACCCGTCTGACCGTCCAGCGGCCGAAACCTCCCAGGTAGCTCGGTCCTCTTTCCCCGTCTCCTTCCCGAGCGCCCGTCCGTCCCGCCGCCCCCTTCCTCCGCCGTCAGTCCATCCCTTTCTCCTCTCTTTCCCCCGCGGTCCTTCTGCCTCCCTCGGGTTTCCCCTAGTGCCCCCGGCCTTTCTCGCCTCTTCTCGGCCACCGCGTCTGTCTTTTTCTGGCTGCTTCTTGCGTCCTTTTGTCTGCTCCCTCTGCGCCAGCTTTCCCGTCCGTCCGTCCGTCCCTCCGTCCGCCGCCTCCTCTCCCCTTTCCCAGGCTCCGTCCTTCCCTCGAGCACGTCCTTGGGTCTCCCCAGACTCTCCCTCCGCCCGCGCCCCTCTCCCCAGGCAGCGCCCCTCCCGGCCCGCGGCCCCGCCGCCGTCCGCACGCCGGGCCCTCGGCCGGCCGTCGCGCTTCCTTCCTCCCTCCGGCCTCGCTCTCCTCCCCGGGCTCGGCCCACCGCCCCGCCGCGGCCCGCGGGGCTGCAGGAGCCCGGCCGCCGGGCTGCGGGGAGGGCGCCCCGGGCCGGCCCAGAAGTTACTTTGTGAAGAGGCGGGGCGGGCGGGTGCGGCCTCCCGACCGCGCGCAGCCGCCCGGCCGCGCCGCTGCGCCCCGCGCCGCAGCCCGCAGCCCGGCGGGGCGCTTACCTGGGAGCCCGCTGCCCCCCGCCAGCCGCCCGCGCGCACCCAGCGCGAGCAGCACGCACAAGTGCCAGCGCACGGCCGCCGCGCCCATGCTCGCTGCGGGCCCGGCTGGGCGTGCGGGGCGCGGGGACCCGACCGACCGGCCGCTCCCGCGAGCGCTCCTCGCTGCTCACAGCCCCGCCAGGGCTCGGGATGCAGAGCCAGCGAGCCGGCGCGGCTGACGAGCTGACAGCGCGCGCTCATTGGCCCGCGGCGGCCGGGGGCGGGCGCCGCGCACGGCGGCCAATGGGGCGGGCCGCCGGCCGCGGGGGAGGGGTGGGCGCGGGCGTCCGGGGCGGCCCCCTTCCCTCTGGGCGGCGGCAGGTGGGGGGTGGGGGCCGGGCTGGCTCGCGCGGCCGCGGGGGCTCCGTCTCGACCCGGCCGGGGCTTGCTCGGGGCTGTCCCCGCTGCCCTTGGCCCCCGCGGCCCCAGTCGTCGAGGGTGGTCGCCCCGGGGCAGCGCCTCCCCCGCCGCCAGCGCTCCAGGCAGAGGAGGGGGCTGCGAAGCGGCTCTCGGAGGTCCGGAGAGGCCCGCGCCCCTCGTTCGTAGCGGGAGAAACGCGACGCGCGCGGCAGAACCGCGCGGCCAGTCGGCACGCGTCCCCTGAGCGCCACTGGGTGCCCAGCGGGGGCCAGGCACGGAAAAATAGTGAAATCATCTTAAAATTTACGCTCAAAACAAACGAACTTTTTACCCCTCGCCATAGGACAATGGCCCGTAAGTGCGCTTGTCGTGGAGCAGCCGCAGGACCCGCGTCTGGCACGGGGCGCTCGGGACAGCCCCGGCAGACAATGCGCCTTTGCGCCCAGTCCCGACGGGCGCCGCCCACGCGTGGGCCGAGCCGGGCCGGCGAGTTGGCCGCCGGTGATGCGAGGCCTGGGCCTCGCGGAACAGCGACAGGCCAGCGGGGCCGGGGCACGAGGAGGGGTGGGACGAACACCACTGTCATTCGGCCCAGGAGTGTCTCTGGCCTGGCCTGGGGTCTACACCTGACGCCCGGCCCTGCCCGCCTGGGCCGGCCCCATCGCTGGGGAGGGAGGCGAGGGTGCAAATAAATGGGCCCTCTCAGCTGCCGGCAGGACGCTTTAAGGCAAGAAAGTTCAGCAAACCCCAAGGCCCATCTCCTTGACAACCACCAATAAGAGCTCCTTTTTTCTCTCCTGCCCTCCAGGCCCGACTCAAAGACAAGACTTTTCTCTTTTTTGTCCACTCTGCCTGCACCAGTTTGTGCCCAACGTTCCCTCTGCACACCAGCTCCCTTCCCTGCCCCAACACCCCCCCACGCATGGACAGACACCGCTGTCACACACAGTCCCTCCGACACAGCCCCACGCACGCTCACGCGCCCTTCCGTACACAGTCTACTGCGTGCGCAAAGTTAAATCTGCGTCCAGCCAGCTCTTGCTCCCAATCTGACTTCACCTCAGCTGTGGCACTGATCTGGTGGATGGGACGAGGGGTCCCCGACATGAGGGTCCCAAAAAGGCCAGAGAGGAAGGAAGTGCTGCCTCTTGACTCCTCTAAGCCCCCTCCCCATTGCTTCAACATTTTCCTCTGCATGACTGCTCCTGGCTGACGTTTTAACTTGAGAGACCCTGTCATCAGGCTTTATTTTGTCCGCTTCTCGGTGTGGCTTTGGGTTCTGGGGGTGGGGCACAAGCTCCCTCAGAAACACATATTATTAATACCTTGCTCACTGGGCAACAAGGGCAGGAAGTGTGAGGGGGGCTCTGATCCGCTAGAAACGATGTCCTTTAATGTGCCTATTTTTCAGGGCCCCCCACCCTGGCCAGGTGTCTCCCAAGCTTGATGGCAGCAGAACCTTCTTCTAGGCTCTGTCCCCCCCCCCAAATCAAGGTAGGAATGGAGGCAGGTGATGGGCTGTTATTCTGCGACCCACCCCCACCCCCAGCGCCCCCCCGGGTAGCTCTCACTCATACTAAGTTTCAGTCTTCAGCCTGCTCCCAAGTAATTGCTCTTATCAAGTTTCGGGGTGAATCAACACCCTCTGAGGTGTGCAGACAGAGAAAAAGCAGCTTCTTCCAGAAGGAGATTGTGGTGTGTGTGGAGGATTCAGAGAAAGGAGGAGGGAAGTGGAGAGAAACACACATGCGTGTACAAAAGGGGGTGACTTAAGGAGCAGAGAAAGAGGAGGTCACTCCTGCCCTTGGGGGGGCTGTCAGGAAGGCCCCCCAGGACAGGTGATCTGGAGCTGGACACAAGGCACAGGGAATCTTCCTGATGGACAAAAACAGACAGATGGATAGAATGTGCCAAGGTCCAGGAGAGAAGGAAGAACCCAGCAAGCAAGCCAGAGAATGTTCTCGGAGCACCTTAAAAACTGTAGAGCACTGTCTGAGTGTGACAGTGACATGACGGGGGGCTGCCCATGGAGACTGGCGTGTGTGTTTGGAAGTGGGTGGGTGGGTGAGAGCTTGTGTGCCTGGCCCGCAGCAAAAGGTGCCTGAGAGCCTCTGGACACTGAGCTGGGAGAGAGGAGGCTGACGGCTGAGGCTGAATCGCACAGTGACTTTGGGAGGGAGCTCTCTGTGGCTCCCATCACCTTCCAAATGGCCTGTGAGCTCTGTGCCTGGCACACAAGGCAGCCCTTGCCCTCTGCAGCAGCCCCAGCCTCACCTGATTGCTGCAAGGGGCGCCCACAGACATCCTGCTTTCCATGCTCCTGAGCCTGCACCCCCCCCAGCCAAGAGCACCCTTTGTTCCCCTCCTTTGTAAGGCGCAGCCCTCCTCTTCTGCCCACACCCCACCCCCCGGCCCCAGCTGCTGATCGCTGTCTGAGGCCACAGCTCCCAGTCCGGCCTAAGAAATTATTGTCGAATGAATGAATGAAGGGACAAAGAAACAAGACAGACGTTATTTAACCGAGAATTCTTATGGCTCCATGTTAAAGATCCCCTGGCTCTTTGATGGGGCATTGAGAAGTGAACCCAGCTGCTCACTCTCTCCTGTCCACCTCCCGCTCCGTGCCCCGTGGACAAGCTGGGACAGCCGCAGGACCGCGGTTCTTGGTGCCCAGAGCAGCCGACCTGGGGCCCTTTGGCTCCCCCTGGTGACGCCTCGCACAGGTCTAGCAAGAAGAGGAGGGGAGCTCTCCTCTTCCTCCCCTCCAGGCACACCTGCTGCCCCCGGCTCCAGCAGCTGACCTCGGTGCTCAGCACAACAGCCGGCAGGGCTGGGCTCAGACCTCACCTTCCACGCTCACCAGCCCCACAACTTTGGCTAAATTGCTTAACACCTCCTGAGCCTCAGGTTCCAGCTCGGTGTAACTGGCCTCTTGGGGTTGTTGGGAAGATCAAACACATGCAGAAATCTGAGCCTCAGTTTTCTCATCAGCAAAATGGGAGTGATGCTTATGTCTTTCTCAGAAGGCTGCGGGAAGGATTCAATGAGATTTTTGTACACAAAGCCCTGGCGCACGGAGGCAGTCAGTACGCGCTGTTACCACAATTACTGCTACCGCACTGCTACTAGTACTAGCACTAATACTATTATTAATAGTAGCAGGTGGTAGTAATACTCAGCTGATTAAGAGCACCTTACTTACTAAAATTTCCTCATGAAAAATTCTCTTGATTAATAACGGTGTGAAAGTTCTTAGAGAAAAATAAGGTTCTCTGCAAGCATAAAATGTCATTCCACAGACATCAAGCCTCTGTCTTGAGGACATTAAAGGCATTTGCCATCCTATTTTAGTAAAAATGAAATTGCATAATACCTCCTGGCATTGCACACGTCTCCAGACCTTCGAGGGTAGTCTTTTCCCCGGCCCCTGGGAGACCCTGGCCCAGACGGGCCCCATTTCTTGGCTTGCCCTGTCAGGTGAGGGTCTCAGCTCCCAGGAGCCTATCTCCCTCTGAAATGACCTGCCTGGGTTGCGACACTCGGCATATCCTGACCTGTGGCCGCTGCCTCCTCCCCCCGGGGTAACAACAGCTGGCGTGTGTTGAGAGTCCCCGCGTCCCTGCCACTGCGCTCAGATGCCCTGGGTGTTGCAGCACGTAAGCCTGGGGGGTAGAAACTGCCACCCCCCCACCCCACCCTGTGAGACGGGCCGCCTGCTGCCCCACCCAGAGCCAGTAGGGGCGGGGGTGGGATTTGAACCCAGGTCTACGTGGGTTCACCCGCCCCCACCAATACACACTCTTAAATTAACCATTACCTGTGAATGAAACACACTCAAAGGCTCAAAGGGCTGAGGGGGCAGGGGCAGTAGAGCGCTCCTCCCTGTAATGCTTCAGGGTTTGCTTTTTGTGTTTCCATATTGAGAAAAGTGGTTTTTACGTGGAACAGTTCATAATTCGCACGGTTGATTTTAGGCACCACTCGGTTTTATGTTCCCTCACCTTCCCAACAGTTGCAAAATCTGTTGGAACCGCTGCCCGCCACCGACCCCCACCCCACCGTGTCAAGGAGGCACGTGAGACAGGGCGACACCTCGAAGGGCTCCGCAGAGTCTCCTGCAGGGAGCCCAAGCGCCGGCAGCTTTGCCTTCGCAGCCCGTCCTGCAGAGCTGGCAGCGTGCTGGGCACGTGCCTCCCCTCGCCTCTGGGGCTGCAAGTTCATGGACTCGTCGGCAGGAAAAGCTGCAGATGAGTCCCACAGACAGCCCAGCCTATGCGCCTCATTTTACAGCTGGGGAAACTGAGGCCCAGCCTCACAGATCCACTACCCCTTGGACACATCTACCCGGACCCCTCTTGGGCACCTAAACTCTGCCAAGTGGGCCCTCCTGTCCAAGCCTGCGCCTGTCAGGGCTTCCCGCTTGGAGGGTGCTTCTCTCCTTTCCTCACCCCACTCACCAGCCCGACGCCTGCGCCCGTGACCTCTCTCTGTCCCCTCGGCCCCTGGCTTTGTCGAGCCAGTTCCGTCTCTCGCCCCAGTGAGTCCACAGAGGCTCAAACCCATCCCTGCCAGGGCAGCTGGAGTCAGCCTGACCTCTCCACTCCAGACATTAACATTTTTTTCCAATTTAAAGTCCTGTCTATCTGCTTAACATAGAAAAGATTCAGAGAGAACAAGTAACATTCTATTGTATTTCCTTCCAGTGTTTTTCTCTGTGAGCATATACATTTTAAAAAATAAAACTAAGACCATATTACACATACAACATATTTTTCTGGCCTCTATGTTTTTTTTTTTTTTTTATTTTA